CACATGAATTTGTATTTACAAGATCGTTTTTTAGTGAACTTTGTCGACGTTCGCATCCAATTGGAAAGACAGCAACCTAAATGGTGATGTGGTGGGTGAATATTTCACCCATTTTACACATCAACAAGCCACGACGCCCTATTTAGATTTGATTTGAAAAGATTGGGAATATTAAATACTAAGGAAGTTTTGCATTTGTCTTACAACGACTATATTAAAGGCTACACACTCTTTGGATTTGATTTGACCAGTGACCACGGAGCTGATCAAGCCAATTTTCATCCCAAGTCGTCTGGAAGTTTGTCTTTGGAATTGAGATTCGACATAAATATCCTAGTTTACACATTTTTTAGAATACATCTCTTTAATAAAAGAAATTAAATCATATATGAATACGATTAATATAGAAGGTCCTACTACAACTATATGTCGCCCTTTTGTCCCGTTTCATTTAGAACTACTGTTTGAGAAAAATAAAGGCAGTAGCCATATTTATGATATATTAAGAGAAAATATTTCTATAAAATCACAAATTGAATATTATACGTTAGGCTATAGAGTGTGTGATTGGAGTAAAAACTATATGCTTCATTTTAATATTTCAAAGAATTCCAAGATAAACTGGTTTCAATATCGTATTTTACACCGTATACTACCCGTAAATTATTTTCTTCATAAAATAAAGAGTCTTGTACCTTTTGCCACCAACAACCTGAAACTTTAGAACATCTCTTCTTTGATTGTTCATATATTAAAATACTCTGGGATAAACTTATGAATATTATCAATGAAACTACTATTCTCCATATGGATGTATTAACTTTAGAAATTATTATGTTTGGCTCAAATTCTTTAATTGTACCTCTAAATTGGCTTCTTCTGCATTCGAAATTTTTTATTTATAGGTCAAGATTTTTAAAAATAATACCAACTTTCCCAGCTCTAATTAACTATCTCATCGATAATATTGTAGTTGAAAGATATCTCCAAATGAAAATAAATAACGAAACTTTAAATGGCAATTGGGATATTCTATTTGAAACTTTACAAGAACTCAAAATATCTTAATTAAAATTCACACGAAGTACAAGACGGAGTGACGTACAACTTTCCTTTAATCTTTCCTATACTGGTCACCTATTTCTATTTTCTCACTCTCTACGCTATCAACTCTTTCATAAACTCCTCAAAGTATAGTATAAAACAAAATCTTTTTACACTATATCTTTACATGTATTTTCATTTGAACCATGTTATATGTATTATGATATAATAAGTATATATTATGTAAGGTATATGTTCGTGTTTTTATATTTTTGTAAATAAAATATACTATATTGAAAAAAAAAAAAAATTTTTCGAGAAGTTTTTTAAATATTTTTTTTGTAAAAGATTAACAATCCAGGAGATATTCCACACATTTAATAACAATCTAAAACAATCTAGACCCCTTTAAAGGCTACACACTCTTTGGATTTGATTTGACCAATGACCACGGAGCTGATCAAGCCAATTTTCATCCCAAGTCGTCAGGAAGTTTGTCTTTGGAATTCAGATTCGAAAATCCTCCACAAAATCCACCCAATTTGCTATTGTTTGCCGAATACGACAATGTCTTGGAAATCGACGTCAACCGCCAAGTTTTGGTGGATTGGTAAACCTCTGTATACTTCACAGTTGGAGGAAGGATTGGCCTGCCACATCCCTGAACAATTTGCTGGCGTGTTAGCCAGAAATCAACTACAAACCTTACAGCCAACACGCTATCCCTCAGCGTACGTTGTGAATACGGACGACGCAGGCCAGCCTGGAAAACATTGGACAGTTTTTGTGTGCGATAAAGACCATTGTGATTTCTTCGACTCGTTTGGATGTTCCCCAGAAGTGTATGGCCAAGATTTTGCCGACTTTGCGCGGCGTCAAGGACCCTTACGTCACAATACCCGGAGGATTCAAGGAAATCATAGTGCTGTCTGCGGGCATTATTGTTTCTTTTACTTGTGTCATAAATTCCACGAACCGTCACCCCATGCTTTATCGGTGTTCCAATCTAATCTGACCGAAAACGATTGTTTAGTCCATGCTTGGGCCCATCACCATTTTCCTTATTTGTCTTTTGAAGATGGCGAAACATGTTTAGACAATATGTTAGAATTAATGGATTTAAGTTGAATTAATTAAAGTTTAAAAAAATAAATACCACGTGATCTTTTTTATCCAATCCAAAGCCCTTTTTCCAGTTTCCCGCCTATAAAAAGCGCAGTCACTTGTCTTTAGCCAGTCATTTGCAACATGGCAGGTTTGACGGCCTTTTGTAGAATGTTTTTTAATCCACCCTTGACGGTTTCTTTGCCACGGTCGACTTTCAGCACTTCCTTTTCAACTTGGGGAGGTTATCTTTTACAGCTTGTTTCCAGCACTCCATAAATCAGCAAGTGATGTGGGAGAAAGACACGAACGACCAACAAGCCGTTGAAACCGGTGCCGATGATGCTGTCGTACCCGTCGTAAACCAAGCGTTGGGAGCCAGAAGAAAAAGGATGGGTAAAAGTTCAGTGTTTGAAATGCAATCCCGGCTACACATGGATTTGTGTTTTTTAGTAGTCGGGATCGACGTTCGCATCCAATTGGAAAGACAGCAACCAAAATGGTGATGTGGTGGGTGAATATTTCACCCATTTTACACATCAACAAGCCACGACTCCCTATTTAGATTTGATTTGAAAAGATTGGGAATATTAAATACTAAGGAAGTTTTGCATTTGTCTTACAACGACTATATTAAAGGCTACACACTCTTTGGATTTGATTTGACCAATGACCACGGAGCTGATCAAGCCAATTTTCATCCCAAGTCGTCAGGAAGTTTGTCTTTGGAATCGAAAATACTCCACAAAATCCACTCGATTTGCTATTATTTGCCGAATACGATAATGTCTTGGAAATGGATGTCAACTGCCAAGTTCTGGTGGATTGGTAAACCTCTGTATACTTCACAGTTGGAGGAAGGATTGGCCTGCCACATCCCTGAACAATTTGCAGGCGTGTTAGCCAGAAATCAATTACAAACCTTACAGCCAACACGCTATCCCTCAGCGTACGTTGTGAATACCGACGACGCAGGCCAGCCTGGAAAACATTGGACAGTTTTTGTATGCGAAAAAGACCATTGTGATTTCTTCGACTCGTTTGGATGTTCCCCAGAAGTGTATGGCCAAGATTTTGCCGACTTTGCGCGGCGTCAAGGACCCTTACGTCACAATACCCGGAGGATTCAAGGAAATCAAAGTGCTGTCTGCGGGCATTATTGTTTCTTTTACTTGTGTCATAAATTCCACGTACCGTCACCCCATGCTTTATCGGTGTTCCAATCTAATCTGACCGAAAACGATCGTTTAGTCCATGCTTGGGCCCATCACCATTTTCCTTATTTGTCTTTTGAAGATTGCGAAACATGTTTAGACAATATGTCTAACTACTACTACTTTCCCAAAATGACGACAAAATGACGTCATCAAGGATTTCCCCGGGGTTTTCCCAATGACGTCATCTCCCTAGCAACTAAAGTCCCTGAAGACATGTCCCTACTACTACGTCATATTTAGTCACGTGGTACGTCTCAGCCAATCAGCGTCTGGTACCTATAATCGCTCGCTTACTACTTTGCGCGGCGTCAAAGACCCTTACGTCACAATAACCGGAGGATTCAAGGAAATCAAAGTTCTGTCTGCGGGCATTATTGTTTCTTTTACTTGTGGCATAAATTCCACGTACCGTCACCCCATGCTTTATCGGTGTTCCAATCTAATCTGACCGAAAACGATCGTTTAGTCCATGCTTGGGCCCATCACCATTTTCCTTATTTGTCTTTTGAAGATTGCGAAACATGTTTAGACAATATGTTAGAATTAATGGATTTAAGTTGAATTAATTAAAGTTTAAAAAATAAATACCACGTGATCTTTTTTATCCAATCCAAAGCCCTTTTTCAAATTTCCCGCCTATAAAAAGCGCAGTCACTTGTCTTTGGCCAGTCATTTGCAACATGGCAACCGAACCAATCATTGTTGTCCAAATCTTGGAAGTGGATGACAGGCCTATTAAAGTATTTACCCGTAATCAGCGTCTGGTACCTATAATCTATCGCTTACTACTACTTTCCCAAAATGACGACAAAATGACGTCATCAAGGATTTCCCCGGGTTTTCCCAATGACGTCATCTCCCTA